TTGGCCGGGGCGGGTTCAAACCAGCCACCCTCAGTATATGGGGCCAGCACCCCCCACAGGCACCGCCCTAATGGTTCTTATCATAAAGAGGTGGTGGATTTGTTTAACATGTTCTTTCTGCATCTACTGGGATAATCATACAGCTGTTCTTTATTTTTTTAATGTAGCGAATTATAGTGCTTGATTTTCAAATGTTAAAACCACTTTGCTTTCCTGGGGCAAACCCACTTGCATTCCCAGGAAATATTCCTAGGGAAATACTTGGGCATAAATTTAACAAAGGACACCCGGCCCTTTCCCCTGATGGGTCTCTTTCTCTATGTTCTAGATGTGATTTCCCAGTGACACGTTAGTGATTTCTGTGTCCCTGTGTCAGTGGAGAACGGTAACTTTTCATCTGCTACAATGTCTGTGTCATGCTTTTGTCATTTGGGGTTATGATAGCCTCGTAATACACGTGGGGGTTTCACTTGTGCCCCTTTTTCTGAAAGATCCTTTGGTGTTATTTCTTTCTGTGAGCACTCGCATTGAATGTGTTTGCTGCCGTGGGTGGGATTATTCCCACCCTGCTGCTATCGGCTTTTTGTCGATCTCACTTTTGTCTCTCTGGTCAACCTTTTCTGCCTCCTCTTGGGTTCACTGAACAAATTTTTGTATGTCATTTGATTCCTAGCTAGACCTTTTAGTGTTATTTTAGTTGGTCGTTATGTTACTATATGCATCTTTCACTTTTTCAAAATTGATAGATTTTTTTTTAAAATTAAAACCAAAACGAAGGAAAAGTATAGAGTTCCCACTTGTTCTCTCCCCACAAAAATGTCAGCCTCTGCCAGCGCCAACACCCTGCAACTTCGTGACCGGTGAGCTGACGTCCACGGCTCGCATCCGAGTCCACAACCTCCAGGTGCTGCCCGCTCTCTGGGTTTGGGCAAATGTGTAAGGCCATGTGCCACACGGGACAGCGCTAGGCTCCGCCTGTCCTCCCTCCCCATCCCGACCCTCTTCCTGTCTCCATGGCTCCGCCTGTCCTCCCTCCCCATCCCGACCCTCTCCCTGTCTCCATGGCTCCGCCTGTCCTCCCTCCCCATCCCGACCCTCTCCCTGTCTCCTTTCCCAGAATGTCACCAGTTGGGACGGCACTAAATGTAGCCTTTTCCAGTCTTCTTTCTCTTACTAATACGTACTTAAGATCTTCTCCTCCTCCTCACAGCGGTGACTAGCACTTCTGGACATACTTATTACTGCTTGCTATCCATTCACTCTTGAAGGGCCTCCTGACCGCTTCTGGGTCTTGATTTAGTCCGTTAGGAATAGAGCTGCTGTGAACACTCACGCACAGGTTCTTGTGTGCACATCGGTTTTCACTTCATTTGCGTAAATGCCAAGAGCACATTGCTGGATCTTACGTCAGAATGTGTTTAGTTTTGTAAGAAGCTGCCACCCAGGTTTCCTGCAGGCCTGCATCGCTTTCCATCCCACCTGCAGTGACTGTGAGTTCCCGCTGGGTCACATCCTCACCAGCGTCTGGGGTCTTGGCGTTGGAGATCTTTGCATTCTGACGGGTGTGTCATGGTGTCTGTGTCATTCGTCCTCACCAGCGTCTGGGGTCTCAGTGTCTGAGATCTTTGCATTCTGAAGGGTGTGTCATGGTGTCTGTGTCATTCGTCCTCACCAGCGTCTGGGGTCTTGGTGTCCTAGATCTTTGCATTCTGACGGATGTAACACGGTGTCTCACCATCATTCATCCTCACCAGCGTCTGGGAGCTTGGTGTCTGAGATCTTTGCATTCTGACGGAGGATGTGACACGGTGTCTCACCATCATTCATCCTCACCAGCGTCTGGGGTCTTGATGTCCGAGATCTTTGCATTCTGATGGGTGTGACATGGTGTGTCACCATCATTGTCCTCACCAGCGTCTGGGGTCTTGGCACTGGAGATCTTTGCATTCTGATGGGTGTGACATGGTATCTTACTGTCATTTTAATTTGTAATTTCCTAATGACACATGATGTAGGGCATCTGTTCATTTGCTGATTGGCCATCCACAGATCTTCTTTGTCTGTTCAGATCTATCAATATTTTAATGATTAATATTTTTCAGTCTGCTTTGAACTAATATTGTACCACCTCACACGGGAGCAGTACCCTCTCCCTTGTCCTCTCTCCTGGTACCTTTGAGCTATTGCCATCATACATTTTAAGGCTTTACACATTACAATTTTTGCTTTAAATAGCCAGTTGTCTTTGGAAGAAATTATGAAAAGAAACTTAATGAATAACTCAATAGTTGCCTACATATTTATCATGTCTAATGCTTTTATTTCTTACTGCGTATCCCATCTTCCGACTTGCATGCCCCGGCCTAAAGCGTTACTTCTTCGCTTCAACATTGCTTGCAGTGTAGGTCTGCTAGTGACTAATTCCCTCAGCGTTTGCTCAGTGGAACCCGTCTTTAGTTCCCCTTCATTTTGAAGGGCAGTTTTTCGGGATATAGAATTCTGCCTTCACAGGAATTTTTATTTATTTTCTTTAAAGAGTTTGGAGATGTTGATTCATTTCTTTCTGGCTTCCGCCTTTTCTGGTGTGAGGTCAGCTGTTTGATCACGATGCCCCTGGCTTCCGCCTTTTCTGGTGTGAGGTCAGCTGTTTGATCGCGATGCCCCGTGTGGGATGCTTTTTTCTCTTACTGCTTTTTCCTTTTTTCCTTTTTTTTTTTTTTTTTGCCTTTGGGTTTCAGGAGTGATGTGATTTGGTCTGATTTTCTTTTCATTTATCCTTCTTGGTGTTTATTGAGTTTTTGTGGTCTGTTAATATGTATTGTAACCAAATTTTTAAAATGTTAATTCATTATTTCTTCAAATGTGGATATGCACCATTCTTTCTCACTAATGACACGCATCTTAGAAAGTCTGCTTTTATTTCTCAGGCGACTGTGCCTCTGCTCTTTCTTTCTTAAAGAACATTTTTTCTCTCTGCTCTTCAGAGTGTGTAATTTCTGTTCCTCTGCCCTCTTTTCTGCTGACTCCAAACCACATCTATAACCTAATCCAGATATTATATTATTAAATTCAAAATTTTCACTTGATTCTTATTCGTAGATTTGTCTCTTGAGATTCCCCATCTGTTTACTATTTACTAATGTCTTTTTTTGTTCAGGGCATTGGACACATGATTGCTACATTTCTGCTAATTCAAGATCTTAATTATCAAAGGTGTCTGTGGGTGATTTTCTCCTGGTTATAGGTCATATTTTCCTGTTTATCTGGATGTCTTTTTATTTATTATATGCAAACATTATGAATAACACCTTGTAGAGACTCGGGATTTTGTTATCTTTCTCTGAAGAGAATTGATTTTATTCTGGCAGTCAGTTACTTTACTCACTGATGATCTTGAATTTGTGGCGGCTTGGATCTATTGGCTGGGGTAGATCTCCGGAGTGACCCTTCTGGGTGTTAGCAGGAAACCTGGGGTGTTTATCAAGCCCTCCAACTGGACTGCACTCGAGCTCCAAACTCGGTCTTCCCTACATTTGAAGCTGAGACTCTGGCTAAGCTCTTTCATCCTTCTAGTCCACACACATGCAATTCAGGGATCAACCAGGGTGCAGGCGTTTGTGGGCAATGTGCATCCCTCACGGTTTCCTCTTCTGGGGACTCCTCCCCTCATTTCCGTCTTCTCTGGCTCTTCAGCCAGATGAACCTGCAGCTTTCTGACCTACAGTATAAGGTCACACCACAGCAGGACAGGGAAATCTTCCTCCACTTTTTTATAGCAGCATAGTTTTCCCTCGTGAATGCACACTGTTTGTACGACTGAGGGTATTTATGTTGCTTCTCGTCTCTTGTCATTGCAACAGTCAGTTGGCTGTTTCTTATTCCTCTTGCTACAAACTTTACAACTATGTGCAACCTATTAAAGTCCACAGATGTAATAAAAACTCTGGTTTTCAAAAAAGGACTCAGTCTTTACTAGATTTTTACAAACATCTTGTCATTTGCATTATAATTGATGTGCTGGTTGGGTCAGAGTTTATCCTGACGGAATTCTTCCTGGAACTAGTCTTGTGGGGTCACTTGACACGAAGTCAAGGCCCTAGACATAATTATGCAGAGTTGATTTCCTTTGGCTTCACCATGATTAACCTTTCGCATAGGGTTATTAGATCACAGTGACACGCACAGGGCATCATACAGTGAACGGCCCCACCGGCACGTGTGATCAGCCACTGGTTCCCGTCCACGTTCCTCTGAAGGCACCATGCAAGTGTCCCAGCATTCACACCCACACCCTCTTTGTGAGAAGTTGATCTACCAGGAGAAAGGCGAGGGACTGGTGCAGACTCTGTCTCCCCACTGTGGCTGAGGGCAGCCCTGTCCCATCTCTGCAGCCCTGAGTGAGATCACAATGAGGGTAGGGCAGCTAGGGCTTGGCCACGTCATGACCTGGCCCTCTCTTGCTGTCACGCAGCCGCTGCAGGGTGTGAGGAGGATTCAAGGGAGTTAACACACTCACACCACTTGGGCAGGGCAGAGCCCAGTAGGCACACGGTAAAGATGTTACAGGGGCGTGACCTTGCAAAACGCTACCTCACAGGACAGGAAAGGGCTGGCTGGCTGTCCAGAGGCATCCGGCTTCATGGGCAGGTTCCCACTTAGGAGCTAATCCCAAGGAAGAGAGGAGGGCACACAAATAATGCACAAATATCTGAGACCAAATGCACACTACACAGAGCATGGAATTCCGCTCTCCAACAATGAAAGGGAGACAATTCACCCTAGTGCCTGCCCCCAGGGGCCAGACCCTGAATCGGCAGGGCCAGTGCAGGGCACTCTATAGAATTTCAGGTCGTCAGGTCCTGGGTCCACTGTGCCGACTTCTGTCCACACGGCTGAGCATCAGCTGTCTGGATGTCCCTAAGGCTGCTGACAACCTTGTGCAGCTCCTGACAGGGACACACCTGGAAAGGGCTCCTGTGCCTTTAAGAAGCCAGGCAAGGTCACTGTGAATCATTTAACTTTATTGTGCTCCTGGGCTATAAAGGAAATGTAGTCCTTGTGCTGAATGTCTGTTTTATGATGTCCATAAACAGTGAATTGCCAATGACTGTTCCCTAGTTAGAACCTCCTGGCTGGCTGGGAGGTTACAGGGCGGGCAGGGTCTGGAGAGTGAAAGTGAAAGGTGCCTTCACCTCCCAGGAAGAGGGACAGTGCCCTCCCACCTCCCACCCTGACAGGGAGGCTGCCGGCCCTTCCTCAGGTGCCTTCACCTGCCAGGAAGAGGGGCAGTGCCCTCCCACCCCGATGGGGAGGCTACGGGCCCTTCCTCAGCAGGGCCTTGGCCCTTCAGACTTGGGGGTTCAACAGGAGCAGAAATAAATGAACCCCCCCCCCAATCCTCAGGACCTCTGTGGTGCTTGTCTACTTGGGGCCAAGTAACGTGGGTTATTGTCCCCAGTGCAATAATAAGATACCCCTTTTTAAAGGAATAGCCGAGTTTAAAAACAAAAAAAGTTTGTTAGGCAACATCTGATAGGGAGAGACATGGCCCATGGGGTCATCTTGGTGTCTGCGTGTAAGCGTGAGCGGAGCCCAGGGATGCTATGTGGCCTCTGCCCACTGTCAAGACAGGCTGGGACAGCTCAGATCCAGCATGAGCACCCAGGCCACACTCACATGTCTGTGCTATTTCTTTATCCCGCTGTTGGAGGTCAAAGGCTTGGGATACAAATGTCTGTGCTGACGTTTCCAGGTCGGCCTCCTCCACACGCAGGTCTGGAGGCTGGTGCACCCCCAGGGTTGTGTTTGCACTTGTTGGACAGGGAGAACAGTTCCTGCCCAGCCCAGTTCGGCATCTAGAGGATGAAGGAACAGCTGGTGCTGTTGCTGTTCTCTCCAGCACAAGATTTTAAAAAGACATACAGGCAGTGCCCAGTCACGAATGAGATAGGTCTGTGGGCTGTTTCTTGAGTTTGTATGTACACAGGTACGTTACCTATTACCTGTAATAGCCTCTGTTCATAAGTGCAAACTGTACGTCAGTTGGGTGTTTATAAGGCGGGGCTGCTTGTACACAAACCAGCTGGCTGGCCGATCTAATTACAGTGTCTGGTTTAATTAATCTCTGGAGTTGGAATTATAGGTTGGGCTGTGCTGCATCACTTACCAAATTTCATTTCATTCTGCACTGGGTGGACTGAGGATTTATCTGAAACAAGTAAACAATTCCCGGGGCAAGTGGGCGAGGCAAAGGCAGGTTTCTTGAAGTGTCCACTTGGGCTGGAAGTGGGGTTGCGTGACAGCTTCTGGGCATGGGGCAGGGGCAGGGGCAGACTCAGCCCTGATCACTTGTGAGAGCAGCCGTGTGGACACCACAGGGCCAGGCGTCCATCCTGTCACCCTCACGGCTGAGTCCTGCCTCAGACCTGGGGCAGACAGCCTGTAGGGTCCCCTCTGTCCCGTCCAAGCTTTGCTTTATCCCAGTCCCCTCAGTTTTGCTCAAGTGGACAGGTCCTGGGTCCTCTGTCACACAGCCACACAATGAGACCCACACTCTGCTGGACTCTGCCCTGGAACTCAGTTCAGCTTCCTGTGACATGTAAGAAACCAGTACTTGTCACATGAAGAGGCTGGTCCAGGGCAAGCAGGTCAAAAACAGCCCCGGCACCCTGAGGGGGAGAGGGCCCCGCTTAAACCCTGTGCTGGGCAGATCACTTCTGTGCTCTGAGCTTTGGGGGTTTTTTTGTCTGTCTGTTTGTATGTTTGTTTGTTGAGACAAAGTCTCCCTCTGTTGCCCCAGCTAGAGTGCAGCAGCCTAATCACAGCTCACTGTAACCTCAAACTCTTGGGTTCAAGAGATCCTCCTGCCTCAGCCTCCTGAGTAGCTAGGACTACAGGTACCTACCACAGCATCTGGCTAGTTTTTCTATTTTTAGTAGAGACAAGGGTCTTGCTCTTGCTCAGTCTGGCTTACAGCAATCTCAAACTCCTGGGGTCAAGTGTTCCAAGCCTCTAGCCACCATGCCTGGCTAGTTTTTCTATTTTTAGTAGAGACAGGGTGTTGCTGTTGCTCAGGCTGGTCTCAAACTCCTGAGCTCAAGGGATCCTCCTGCCTGGGCCTCCCATAGTGCCGGGATTACAGGTGTGAGCCACCAAGCCCAGCCAGGAGAGCTTTTGTCTTGATTAAAGTCACTGATGTATAGGAATAAATTACAGGCAGC